CCGTCGGCAACGGCCAGCTTGATGCAGTCAGCTCCATGCTTCTTGAGATGATGCACCATATCGTTCTCCTTAAAGTAAACTGCATACACACATTTAAAATGTTTGCCCTTGTGCTGGAGGACATCAAGCGCAATCTGGTATCCAGCGTACATATCACAGCCAGTAACTAGCACTGCCTTGTATGCCGTTGGCGACTCCAGTAGGCTCGAGAAAGTGACCATGTTATAATTGTTTTTAAATGCTAAAGTTTGGATTATTTGAAGATATGTGCAGTGCGATGAGGGCTGCTCTTACAAAACACCCCCAAAATCTGTCTTTTATATGCAGAGCCTATATAATTTACTAGCGACACACTGATCCGTTCCCAAGATAGATCGGTGGATAGATATCTACATATGGACTGGCACCAAAGTGCAAGCAGATTAAATGCATGTGTACCAGCAAGTTGAATCTACTCTTGCGCGACTGGTACGTTGATTGTCACATATATTGTATATTATAAAGTTGGCAATGTCATCACTAATGTCAGCGCAGATAATCACCAAAAGTCACGAAAGGCTAGTACAGCAATTCTGCTAATGTGCAAGAACTTTTCGATTGGTTCGGTATCCTGCACACCTTGTCCTGCGTGGGTTATCCCGCACTCAATACGCTCCGGAATATCTCACATTTTAGCTTGTGATGGTTCTTTGTATCCAAATTTTATAGATGCAGGTGTATTTCAGTACTATAAATCTAGCATTAGAATAGTCCCGGATGCACAAAGTGGCTAATGAGCGCGGCCTGCTGCGCCTGCTGCCCGGCCATAAAGCCAGGATCCAGGTTAACAATCATGCCCTGGTTGTTAATTGGGATGAAAGTGTTGTCGTTGCCAGCCATAGCCGGACCGTTGTTGTTCGAAATTGTGTTCCAGTTCGGGTCAACAAAGTTGTTGTCTGACACTTCGGTATTGTCATTGACCTGCGCTAGCGAGTTACCAACTGGGTTCTGCACATTGGCGCCGGCAAACGACAAGTCTGCGTCCACCGAACCCTCAGTGAGCGCTCCGTTGTTGACCGTCGGATCGTTAATGGCCGCTGGTGCGTTGACGTTGCTAACTTCAGCTGGCGCCTGACGCCTAAACACAATGTGCGACGACCCACCAAAGCCCGGGAAAACCTGGTTGTTGTTGCCTACCACGGCACCGCCCTCAGTGTTCTGCGCAGCGTTAACATTGGGGTTCTCGAGAATGTTGTCGTGGAAGTCAAAGTTGTTGTTGATGCCAGTGATTGAGTTGCCGATCGGGTTTACAATTGTTGCACCGTCCAGCGACGTCGAGGAGTCAATCGAGCCCTCCTTGAGCGCGCCGTTGTTTACAGTTGGGTTGCTGAGCGCAGTCGGTCCATTGACCATGTTGAAATCTGCGCCAGACTGTCCGACAATCTCCTGTCTGATCACCAGCGGAGACGCGGAGGCGACAGCAGCAACAAGGGCAACAACTGAGAAGGTGCGCATGGTGGAAGAGAATGAAGGTGGAAATGCGATATATCAAAAGGCAGCAGGAACGGCTATGGAGGACTCGTTGCTGGACTTGGGAGTGCGCGAATGCCATTTATACCTGCCCAACCCCTCACAAACAGTGGCGGCCCGCTACTAACTCCAAAACGCAAAATGCCCAATTCAAATATGTGCTCTCATTGTTGTCCGTGCAGCCTGCCACCTCGACAGCCAATGTGCGACACGCCAGGCAGTAGCTTATTAAAACGTCCAGCTGCGTACAATCGTGCCCTAAAACAACCAGTGCGTTTGCCTGAAAAGTAAACACAGCGCCACCTGTATGACAAGATGAGACTGAACAATGATAATTTACTGTAATAAAAAACAGTGTAAACTAGATATCGTCATATTCGGATAGGAAATATGAAAGCGGCAATGATTCTGCCTGTGCAGCATTAGAACATGGTGGCTTCCAGCATATTACGAATTTATAAATTGAAATAATGTATTACGACAACAGATCACTAAAAATCCATTAAACTGAAAAACGCTAATGCTTGTAATTACTTGGGACCCTGGCCAAGATCGTTGGTCAACTGATTAACAAGGTCGCCAACGGCTTCAGTCAGGCCCGACAGTGTCTTGACAACACCACCAAGAGTTCCTTCATAAGGAACGTGCTCGGCAGGGAGAGGTGCGGCTAGCACGGCGCAGGCAAATAGTGCGGTAACGAAGAAGAAGCGCATGTTGTATTCAAAAAAAGTAAGAGATTCAGCCAGAGTAGCGATGATGTTTAATTTCAAAACCACTGGGCCTGCCGGGTGCCATTTTATCCTCGCCATGACACGCATAGCATAGCAGCATTGCCCTCACCGCTGCTCAGCTCACAATCAAATGTGTACTGCTAAATGTTTGAATACACAAAAAAGAAATAGCGATGACCAGATGGCACGCAGTAAGACCTGGAAACAGATTTGGCTGGTACAATTCTATGCAAATTGCCCTTGTTCGTCTGTCATGGGGAGACCCGAGTTGTAAAAGAATAGCAACAGACGCAGTAGCAAAAGTTAGCACCTCTAAGTTTCGATCTTAGGACCTCAGGGTTATGAGCCCTGCGCGCTTCCGCTGCGCCAAGGTGCTGCAGATTTTAAGCTAGCCAATAGCTTTTTCTCAAATTACTTTTTATAGCTTAACAAAGCTGCGCCAAGACTTTTGGTTGAGGTTGGCGATGCGCTTGGGCGTGATGGGGGTGTTTGCACACATTTATGCGGCCAAGACGTATCAGTTGCCTGCGGCTTTCCTTTGCAAAGCCCAAACGTTGGGATTAATAACTGGCACAAAACGTCAGTGACAGCTGATGCCAAGCCTTGTGAAAAAGAATGCTCAATAACGCCCTCAAGTCCTTTTGCCTTGCTCAACTCTTTTATTGCTTCTTTCTATTTTTATGCGTTGCATTTTGTGAATTCGGCCTCTTTTTATTTACTGAATATTTGCAACGGCCATGGCGGCGACACAACACCACTTTCTCGATGACGATGACCCGCCAGCGTACACGCCTCTTCCTGGAGCACACGAGGAGTCGTTGGATGCAGGCGCCGGCACACCTATTGTCCGAGCGCAAGCTGCCCACCTTGTAATCAATCCTTCAGATCCGCGCAGCAACTATACGCGAAGTTACCGAGCCAGTCCGGGCAGCAGTCCGGTACCACACCTGCCACGCCGGGGAAACGCAAACTCGGGACCTGTGCCCATGAACCCCCGGCTCCCTTCGCGACTGAATGCTGGCTATGAGCGCATGGGGCCTGCTCCACACTTGAGTCCGCGCATTCGCGTATCTCTTCCGCTTATGCGACATGCAACCTCGCAACAACGAGCGGAACCAAGCTTTGTTTCATACTTGACAATGCGCGACAACCCGACATCAGTTAGAGTTGTTAATGGCTTGCCGTTGTCCCCTGGCGGACATAGGAACAACGGCAGTGGCTCTCAGGCGGCAGTTTACACTACTGAGTGCCCAGCATGCCACAACTCGGGCTGGCTAAACTACAAGGTTCCTTGCAGTTGTCCGGCCGGGTCTTTTGTCAAAAATAACCATCCACGCTTTCACTCGTCGTTGCTCAGGTTTGTGGATGACATACTGGGCCCGCCCTCACACACAAATATTGCTTGCTATAGCAATCCTAGCGTACCATCACACCATTCCACACAGAACAGTAATAACAGTAGACAGCCTACATATTTGCAACACTTGCCAGGTCGAGGAAGTCCATGCCCCAACTGCATGGGCCAATCATACTTTCGTAATCCAAACGTCCGGGATAGTCCGGCCGCACGAGATGTTCGTGCTCGGCTAGGGCACACCCCACCACCCTGCGATGTGTGTGCAGACCGTGGCCGGATTGAATAGGCAAACATACATGCACAAAATACATCACATATCACTAGTACTGAATATTTGCTTATTAAGGTGTATCAAATGTTTGTAGACATATCTAACCTTGAATAGAGTCGCTATGGTTTGCAGAAAAGTAATCTTTAAGAATGGACAGAATAACCAGAGTAGATATTACTTTATTTTTTGTTTGGTTTTCTGTTATAGTAAAATAGATATTTATTTAGAGGATTCTAGAAACATGTACAATTTGCCTGGTACAGCTAATAGCAAAGAGTTTGAGTACTCCAGCTTCTGGAAACCAGTGCCTCAGATATAGAACTTGTTGAGACAAGAAATTGGTACATTACAAAGCAGGAGCCCACTTAAAATATGATAACCAAGTATACAGAGGGCAAGTCATACAATAAATGCTATTGATGTTATTGAACAAATAAAAAGTTGATGTACTCCAAATTAATAATGTTATATGATACCTTACATAAATGAACAATACCCATTTGGCATCCATCCTAGTGCTTAACTTGAAAATAGATAAATGCTATCAACCTATGCTGTGATGGTATTTGAATGTTCATTTGCATTACTGTTGCAGAGGCAATGGCTTCAGCAGTTGTTCAGTTGTAGGTCCCACTTTTGTTAGGCTATTGCTCCACATTTTATTGCTACCACAGTAGCCACTGACAACATGTCATGCTCATATTTCTCACAACATGCATCCCTAATCAGATATAAACTGGCATTAGCAAATCCAAATAAAATATTTCCAGCTCAGCATGATTACAAATGTTCCATAGCAGAAAAGGATATTTCCAGCTGAAAGTCATGTGATCCTACTATGAATCTAAAGTCATAGCTAATAAAACTATCAATTTGATATTCTCTAATGACATATTACATTTGCTACATGACAAATTACCTCTACATGCACAAGTGCTGGTGAAAATAGTTACATACCTCAAAACTCATAGTATATCATAATAAGTGTATTAATATAAGGCCTGCCATTATATAACCGTGTAATAATTTATTTAACAAACAAGACGCATTCAAAAAAATAACATTTAAAAAGTTCCGAAAAATATTGCACGGTAAAATATTGATTATGCTCAAAACAAAATCTATCAACATATGCGATGACCGGGAATCGAACCCGGGACTAATGCTTGGGAAGCATCAATTATACCATTTAACTATCAACGCTGGAAACAGAGCAAATTTATAGCAATTTACGTTGGTCCATTATGAATATATACATAGTCGCGTGTCCTAATAGATTGCGCCCATATACTTTCATTTGTCGTGACATTAGCATACACTTTCGATTTAGCTATACACGCTTGATGGAAAAATAATAAACTTGGCGCATACATTCAATTTAATGTGCCAATCACTCTACAGCATCAATTTACCAGCTCTTATATTTTACTGGCAACTCTTTGGAAAAATCCCCCAACTCCAATATATAAACAACAATTTCTGATGTATGTGCCCCAATTGCTCAATCATTCACAGCCCACAAATAAGCCAAACATAGATTCTGCAACCAGCAATCCATGAAAAGCAATGTGCCAGCCTTGCCTACCAAAAAATTCTGCTATACCTAAATGGTGATAACTATTGGGAACTGCCTTATATAATAATCAATACTATATATAATGCTTATCTTTCCAGGCTAGATAGTGATATAGCTATCTTTTCTCACACTCACATATCTGTATGTGCCTTCAATAATTGTACATAGTATGCCTCAGAATTGTATTCTTTCAATATTATAGCTAAAACAGTGTACTCTTTCATAAAGTGGGCTGTTATAATGTATTTATATTGCATGAATACTCAAGCAAATAATACATCCAGGATATATCCCAGATCAGTGAAATCTAGCGAAATTTAAGCTGTGTCAAAAAATACTTATGATATTTAATCTGTAGCAATGTATACTTTTAATATATTAGCTGTAGCAAAG